TATATATAGCAATTACATCATAGAAGGTATTATTAGTAATCTACAGATGATTTAATGCACATAACAGAATATTCATGACTTCACGCAAATACGATGCCATTTCATATAAGGGATTTGAACATCCATGGATTTGGTGGGCAGGGAACCCTGAAACCAACTCATATGCACAGAATTTACAAATAAAGCTCTCCCTATTGGATCTAGGAGTCTAAAAAATACACCTACCAGATCTCCCATCGTTTTCCAATTCAGGTTCCTACTGAAGATGAAACTGCCAATGCTAAGGCTTTAAAAGTCACCGCCATCCCCACCCTGTACCACCACAGCTCACTTCCAACAAATGATGAGCAGCAGAATGGGAGCCCCTCACCAGAGCCAGGCTGCACATTTTTTGTATTGCACCTCCTCAGGTCCTTCTTTTCCATGTTTTAACTGCAGCTCCAGCTCTCCTAGTCTTCCCTGCAAAAAACAAACATAAATCAGCATTCAAACTCAAGGGCTGAAATGATTTTAAAATTTCTTTGGGAAATACAGATCCCTTTCCAGTGGCCATATGTGTTCCTGATAAGATATCAGACTGTGAAAGAAGACGCATAAGGAGAAACAGTCACATCACTGCTCAGGTGTTTCTACATTCACTAGAGGTACATCCTGATGAGAATGTATATCTGGCAAGTTTAGTGCAGAGAACTTCATTTTGGCATAGCTTTTAAAGTGGATTTGAATTTCATAGTCCCACACTTTAAAAGTCTCCTACATGGTAATGATCTGCCTTTGTAGGCAACTTATAATTTTAGCTAACACTATACCAACATCTCAGTCTGCACAGAGTATTTTAACAGAATATCAAAAAATTAGTTGAATGAGAATGTTAACACAAGATGCAGATAATATGCAATTAAAGTTATGAACTTTACATTTCTATTCTTTTAGTGAATTTATAAAAACAGACAATACAGTTTTCAAATGTTACTATGTGGTAAAACCATAGCTAATATTATTTAAGACCAAGGCCTTCAAATATTTATCTTTTTCATTTTTTTTATACTCCAAATTATTATGATAATTTCCTCTTTACTCCATCAAGGGGATAAAAGAAGAATTAAGACGTGTTCTGTGCATATACCAACTCTCCACGATGAATGCAAAAATTATGCACAACAAACATGGATGGAACTGAACAATTTTTAATGCTGTTAAAATATTAGTTTGTTGATGGACTCTAAAATGGACAAGAACTCAGACTCAGGATTACTGAGCAATACCTGACCACCTTCAGAAGTGACTGTGTTGGCTGATATTCTTACAAGCAATGAGTCCTGCTTACCTCACCCTCACCAACCTCTGGAATTGTCAGGCTTTTAATTTTTATGATTCTAGTGGATATGAAATGGTACTCACAATGGTTTTTATTTTATTTCACTGTTTACTAATGACACTGAGTATCTATTCATATGTTTATGAAGTATTTGGACTTCCTATTTGGTCCAAGTTTTTAATGGTCATTTTCTTATTGATTAGTTTTAAGGTCTAGTCTATAAAAGAAAGGCGTATCCCTCCCCCGCCCCCACTTCTCTCCCTCTCCCCACCACCCCAGGGAGAAAAGCATCACAGCTTGAAGGTTTAGGGATGTGGACTCTGGAATCAGACTACCTTGGTCTAATGCCATTTCCATGTACTTAATGTGAGTCTGGACAGGTTACTCTTCACTAAGAGGAGAAGTTTCCTCATCTGCACCCTGTACCTAACAATTAGCTCACACCACCACAGCATCACATTAAACGCTGTAGAAAAACGGAAAGCATCTCCTTAGCACAGTGACAGATAACAAATAAGGGCTACCATTATTATATGTGTTATCAATAACTAAAAATCCCCATCTCCCTGTTATTCATAAACACCTAAATCCCTTATGAAGTCAGTCATGGTTTCAACCTGTATAATTTCATGGAGTAAAGTTACGGTTAGAATGTAAAGTTCATGTCCTTGTATTTCTCTCATATATTTTCATTTATGAGCCTGGGAGCTCACTGAGAGCAAGGACAGTTTCAACACGCATGTGGGTCCTTGTATTTAGCACATCTTTTGGCACATAGTGTTTGAGGCCCACCAGTTAAGGCACTGATATTTGATGGATACCTTAAGCACATCCTTCATAGTTCATTTTAATAACCACCTCCATCTCCATAGTTCAAAAAATCCTGGTCCTTTTATATTTTTCCTTTAATCATTTGGAAGAAAGTACTAGAGATGACCAAAATACAGACATATTAATATTTAATAATTATACTGGCCTCCCAGGAGGGCAAAGTAAATAATGATAATAATGATAATAATAATAAGTTTGATTGTCTATTAGTTGTGCTTTTTAAATTATGCCTCTTTACGACTGAGTCATTTATTTTTTTTTTCCCCTGAACCATTTATTTTCTATAATGATTTTCTAAGAAAGATAAAAACAGAAAATTCAAAGGTTAAAATCTGTTTAGAAGTAAATAAAACACAAGAAAGCTACAGTATGTGCAGCTTCTAATAAGGCTCACTCTTCTAATTTCTTCTGTACTGATAAACCAATAAAGCCACTCTATGTGACTAAGCTGACACAAGGTTTTCCTGAGTTTCTGTCCCTCCCAATCCCATCTTGTGGGGTGTCTCCCTCACCCTCCACAAGGCCACATTAGGCTATCTCTCTAGATCCACTTTGCTTTCCCACAGCTAGCCCACTGGTGACAGAGAGCACCAGTGTCACACTACTCAGTCATCTCTGCTTCTGCCTGAGGTGGGAAAACAATGAGAGAAGAGAAAAGGCTGAAATGATCATCTGAGTTGAGATTTTCACTGGCTACAAATTCTAATTAGTATTCTATGTGTCCCTCTCCATTTTCATCTCTAGTCTATACAACCAAGAGCTTGCTAACTACAATGAGCAATTTTACCTAGTTCACGCTACATTAAAAACAATGTGAGCTAGGAATGCAGTTCAGTAGTAGAATATGCATGAGACCCTGGATTCAATGACCACCACTAAATTAATAATTATTTAAAAAACTGCAAATGGTCAGAGAGTAATTTATTAGGGTTATCAGTTTCTGCCCTAGCTGTGATTTCAGATTTTTTTTGCAGCCAACTAACCAACTCAAGAAACAAGTGCCTACAGTCAACCTGCTTTTGTATCTTTTGTTTGAGGTTATATTCACAATCCAAAAAAAATATTTTATCAAAGCCTACATCCCTGAATGGCAAATACATAAAGAACTCCTTATCAAGATAGTTTGAAATGTCAATCAGCTCGTATCTACATATTTCATCTTAATGAGAAATCGATACACCTCTCCCATGTCAAACACACGGATATGCTTATAATTCAAAATCCCAAGTTTCTGAGGAAAAAACTTATTCATCCTAATCAGCCTCAAGAAAGAAACAAAGAATATACCTTTTAGCATGTCTCCTAGGATTAATTGCAGCTTCTCTAAATAATCCTCTATGCTAATGCTACAAAATATGCCCAGCACCAGATGGAAGTAACTACAATTTCTATAGAATAGAAATATTTTCCAGGAATTCTTGACACAGAGGAGTCTGGACAGTTACTCTAATTCTTCTAAGAGAGCATAAAATCTAAGTATACGCACCCATTTAAAAAAACATTTTTAGTAGTTAAAACTCACCAGCATCTTCTCAAGTAATACTGATAACCTAAAATACATTGCTATATATATATTTTTTTGGGGGGGTACTGGGGATTGAACTCGGGTCCTTGCACTTGCAAGGCAGGCCACAACATTACTTGAAAATAACACCAACAACTTAAAACACATAGCTGTTATTTTAAAATAATACCAAAGACCAGCTTGGTATAGTTTGTTCTTTCAGTTTCACTTTGTTACGAACTGAGAAATCCAAAGTAAAGAGATCTTAAATGATAAACACAGAAATGCACCCTCATCCACAAAAGCAGAAAGGTAGAAAAATAGTCCTGCACTACTAAAAAGTAATAAGCAGGCTTTTCATAAACAGGTAAAATAGTCTTTTAAAACATTAAACTAATTTGCATTACTTATTATTACAAATAATTATGTTCTCAGGGACCGTGACCCAGTGGAAAAAGCCGAGGCTCTGGAGTCAGAGAGCTCTGAGTTAAATTCTAGTTTCTTCAGTTACCAACTGTTGGATTTTGAGTTATTTGCTCTCCCTTCCTAGCTAACCTGTTTAATGATCTATAATCAATCCCATTGCACATGGGGTTAACAGACATTCAACGAGTCTCTATGATGATTAATTGAAATATTACACTAGTTATGCAATGACAGCTCTTATGCAAAATATCATGGATTGAAAAAAAATCAATTCTAAGACATCTTCAAGAATTATACCACATCCTATTTGATTCGGCCTTTTTTTTTGGTATTGGGGATTGAACTGGGGGTCCTTGCATTTGCAAGGCAGGCCACTGAACCGCTGAGCTAAATCCCCAGCCCTGATTCGGCCTTTTTTATGCTAAGATCTAAATGAAATGTTTAGTGAGTCCTGCAGGAAAAGATATTCTTCCCTTCTTCAGGCAGTTTGCTACTGCTTCTACTAAAGCACTGAAGATACTGGACTGAAATTGCTAGAGGACATTAGCGCACTTTACTGGGCCGGTTGCTCACTGGAGTCTACTTTCCTTGTGTCTCACACACTCAGTGTGGGGCCTGACCAGGAAAAAATGCTCCATAAATGTCTGGTGAAAGAAACACTGCAAAAGTACTTAGGAGAACAGAGATGCAAGGAGTTTGCATTCTAACCTGCAATTTCATTTTTCTTAAATAAAAAGTGTAATTGGCTAAGGTTGTATATATTAAAGAAACACAGAGTCATGAGTAATTCACTCATTGACTTAGTAATCTATTCAAAACATGCTTAGTGCCCAGACACTGGTAAAGATAAAAAACTGAGTAAAACAACGAGCAAATGGAAACAGTGCGTCCAAAATCAACTTTGAAATGCAGATCGCAGTGCATCTGGGCCCACTGATAATGGTGTTGTTCAGAGTGTGGTACAGACTAACTACATGAAGCTCACCTAGTGGCTTGTTAAACCCAGAGACTCCTGGCTCAGAAATCATTTCCAGAGAAGCCAGAATCTCTGAAGACAGATACTGTTTCAGGGTTTCATGAAGTCTAAGCTCAATAAACTCTTTTACATCAAGGTTTTAATTTGAGATGAGACTACCAAGGCCCAACTCAGTCATTCTTCCTACCCCGTTATGACTCCCCCACTCTGTTTGTAGGGAGACCGTTATCTTTAATGGTAACAGCATAATTCCTGACACTCCTTAAAAATCTTTTTCTAGGACATAAATTATTTCAGTAGCATCAGATTGTTTTCTATCATTCTTAACAGTGAACTTTAAAATAAGGAAAAGAACTGAGATAGTTGTTCTATTTTTAACTTATCTTGTTGTCCCCCACTGACTGAATTTACTTTTAATTTTGAAAATTTTATAAAATATAATTTATAATATCAGATTAAGTGAAGTCAAATTGAGTATACTTCATTTATTTAGTAAGCATTTATTATATTTTCAACACTTAAATTGGGTGCCAGAGACAACAAAGGAGGAAACACTGCTCTGTCCTTAGAAAGCACTGAGACAGCTACAGGCTCCAGACAACCAACATGATGAGGACATCAGGAAGGAAAGCAGAGCTACTGAGGAATTACACAGAGGATCCACTGTGGAGAGGCACATGCGTTCCTTCCCAGGCAAATTAACCTTGGGACCAAACATAAATTATGTGGGCAAACAGGGAATAAAAAAGTCTGATATAAAAAGAACAGTGTATGTCAAGCCAAGAGGTAATAAACAAATAAATAAATTAACTAGACAGCCAGTTAGCCAGCCAAGAGGTTAGTGAGACATACTGAGTTTGGGAAAACAAAGAAACTGAGCAACACTGAAACATAAATATCTGAGCAAAGAGTTAAGAGCTAGGGCTGGAGATATGGGCTTTTCAGTCTGAGTTGCCACAGTGGAAGGAAGACAACGAGATCAGTCTGGTAGGCCCTGAAGTTGAACTGCTGTAGGACAGCCAACGGGGACAACCAGAAGGCAGCAGGACAGAAATGAAGGAACTCAGAAAGAAGCTCCAGACAGGAGAAGCATGCTTGGAGGTGCGGAACCAGTAATGCTGTAGGCCTCATATTCCTTTATGAGCAAAATAAACAAAATAAAACCAAAAATGCATTTTTGATAGTGCTCTTTTTCCAGATGCTTTTTCACTAAACACACATTTGCAGTAAAATTTGAGATAAGGAGGAAACACTCTCCACACAAGGCAGTCATCGTATGGTGGTAAGGTATCCTTACCTGTAAGATAGCATGATAAGCCCGATCCATGTATGCAAGCCAGGCCTGTGGGAGAAAAAGCGCACGGTGCCACTCAGAAGGCTGGGTGTGAACCTGTGGGAAAAGCACACTCAGCATGTTAGGCTGCAGAGCATTAGAACAGAATAAAACTATGTCATCAATTCCATCTTTCCTTTTTAAAGTGGTTTAAGCTCTAAAACAAACCAAATCGGTCCAGGACCAAAACCACAAATATTATTTTTGGCTATTTTCAGAAGATAAGAATTTAGAGTTGTGTAAAGACAAAATAAAATTAGCCTGGGGCAACCCGCTTTCCCGTCCCCCTTCTGTCTCTCTTAGACAGCTTTCTTTCTCTCAACAAATTTTTCCTATTCTTAACTTCCATTGTTCATAGAATTCATCTTTGATTTTAAGGAACATACACTCATATTCTGAATATCTAGCAGGTTCAGGAGTTACATCTCTTTCCCTATTATCATTCTGGAGGTCTTCCACTAAGATGACTGGTCGGAGCAGAAAAATCTCCACATCCTGTCCCTATTTGGACTCCTCCCATGAGGTGAAAGGAGAACTGTCAGTGATCATCAGATATCTTCTGTCTCAGAGTGATCTGCAACTATGCCATCAGAGCCCTTTCTTAAGCCTTTGTGAAGAATTGAGCTACAGGAACTAAAAAGCTACAGTTTAAATCTCTTGGTGGCATCTTCTGTCCTCCACTGCCATGGACTGTTGCCCCTCTGCCACCCTGACTTGGAGCCACCTGATTGTGGACTAAACCTCTAGGAACTGCAAGCTGGAGAGACTTTTCCCCCTTTACCTTTGGATGTCACATATTTTGTCTCAGCAATGAGAGAAAAGCGACCAAGACAAAATTTGGTACCAGAGAATGGGGTTGTTGCTATTAGATTATGTGACCACGTAGCTCAAGAGCTTTGGATCTGGCTTGTGGCAAGGAGAAGAGCAAAGGTTCTGAGATGTTGGCTGAAGAAGCAGAGCTGGAACGCCTTAGGCTGCTCCATATGGGAGATTCTGGTCAGAGCTCAGCAGACCAGCGAGCTGGTAAAGGCCAGGCCCAGGAGATTCCTGCTGGGAAGAAGGAATGCACTGGTTGCTGGACTCCAGACAGTGTGTGTTATGCCTTGGCAGAAAGTTTGTCTGCATTTTGCTCACATCCAGAGACTTTGCCTGAGGCTGAGAATAAGGGTGGTGAACTAAGTAATCTTGAAGAAAACATTTCAAGGCAAACTAATGTTGAGGGCTACTGTTGGGAGCTTTTAGCCAGATCTATGTTGAGAATCAAGAGCAAAAAGCCCAGCAGAATTATTTAAAACATTCTGAGTTTGGCCAGAAAGAAAGCTCCAGCAAAGCTGTGGTCTTGATTACTGAGAAGGAACAGAAAAAAAAAAAAAAGATGGCCTGAGGACATCATAAGCAGTAGCAGAACTCTACCCTTTGTAGCCTCAAAATTGCCAAAAGTAAAACACTTTCCATTGAGAAGAAAGCCGTGGAACGCCATGCTACAGAAGGACAGCAGCCTAGGGAAGTTGTTCCAGAATAGTGGCTCAGGAAAGGTTTTCCTGGGGATAAGGCACCAGACCCCTACAGCCAAGAGAAGGAAGCCTGGCAGTTGCTCCAGCTGGAAGCAGACCTTGGTGTTATCCACGTGGTGCTAAGACTTTAGACTTGGACATTTCAGCCATACTGAAACTGTTAGGATTTTGGCAACTAATGAAATGTCTTTTACATAAAGGGATATGCATGAGTCTTTGGAGGGGCAAGGTTGGAATGCTATAGCTTGTGTTTAGATGTCCTGTCAAAACCTCATGCGAATGAGGCAAGACTTTCTTTTTCATAGGCAGCTGAATCTGGAGTGTGTGATACTGGGATTATGGGTGTATGATTATTAAACCACTACACTGAGTGATTGCTTTGGCACTGCCCAAATCCTGGCAGTATGGATTGGATAAAGGGGGAAGAAAGACTCCTGTAAAGATCTATTGTTGCTTTTGCTGTTTTCTACCACCATGAACTGTTGTCCCTCTGCCACCTTTAACCCTAACCTAATTGTGGACTAAAACTTCTCTGAATTGTAAGTCAAATAAGCCTTTTCCCCTTTAAAAAAATAAATCTCAAAGGGAAAAAAAAAAAAAAAACGCCTGGAATTTGCTAAATTAAAGCAAATACAATACTACCATAACAACAAGTTAAGATGTGTATGCAATACAAATCCATTCTTGAAAATTAGTGGGAGACTCTGTAAAACCACTTAACAAAGCCCAGGTATTGGGTATTTTCTTACAAGTCCTCCTAGTAATTTTAAATAGAGATAAATATGGCTCCTATCCTGGATTTCAAATATGACAATTTCTGAAATAATAAACCTAAATTGCCAACAGAAATACCATGTTGTATAGAAACTACAGTGTTAAGAACATGCAAATGAGTAGAGCAAACAGTAATTGTGCGTACCACAGATAAATGCCCTTTAGTCAGTGTGGGTGAACAAGACAAAAACGATACATGCCAACACTGAAGCCCTATTTCTGAATAGAGAGGCCCAGACAAAACATCTGGTTTTCATAGTTATTTCTGCTTCTACTGATTCATATGCAGCTATGTTGCAACAAATCTTCCCAAGGCCCGCTTCTGTTAAGGAAAGATTACTGAAGAATAACAGTCATAGTGCATCACATTTCATGCTTCCTGTAACTCTTCTCAACAAAACGCAAACAACTGAAACTTCATCCTGTGTTCTATAGCCCTTGACCCCCACCCAAAGAGAGAAATTTATGAACAGTTACACCAGAATCATAACTAGTGATTAAGAACATTTTATTGCATTATAAAAATTTATTTTTTCAAGTGCCTTGTGATAGGGAAGATAACAGCCTCCCTGAGAAATATAGTTGGTTCCCACGTCCTCTGGAATGTCCTTTAATCTCAGTCTTAGTGAAAGCTACTATGAAAGGTACTGTAGAAGGATGTGAGGATTATCAACCAGCCCGTGTGTGCAGACAGCTTTGCAGCTATCAAGAGAAGCAGATGGATTAGATAGGCAAAACTGTGAAGAATCCATGGGAATGAAGAAAACAAGATTAATTGTGACTGCCAGTAATCAGTTCTCATGCAATTGCTTCTTAAAATTTAGACACTCAAGGTGGCTGATGATTTAGTTCAGTGGTTCTGCCTGCCTTGCAAGCACAAGGACCCAAGTTTGATCCCTGGTACCTAAATAAATAAATAAATAAATAAATAAATAAATAAATAAATAAATAAATAAAAAAAAAATTAAGACATTCAAACAGCATGAAATGGATACTTAAGACTATAAATTCCACTAAAAAAATTATAAAGATTGGTCTTTCTTGTTTTGTTTTCTAATTAAGTATTCACTATGCCAAAAGCAGGGTTGTAGAAGCCTTCTCACTATGTCTCACAAAATTCTTTCAAGGAATGAGCCCTCCAACCCCTACTTTTTCTCTTTCCATCTGGGAAGCAAATGATATGACCCAGGCCACAAATAGAGCCAGGGAGGTATCTGTCAGTTCTTGGCCCTGCTCTCTGTTTTCAAAATCTGGGCAATGTTTTACTTATCAATTCTATTCTCTTTTCATAAAAATGTTAACTCCTGTTAACATTTCCCATTTAAGACTTAAGATTTTTATAGAAACAACACTCAAATATCATACACAAAGCTTTTACTTCAGAATCTGAAAATATTTTTTAAAACTTCCTGCCAAATGAATCATAGGTATCACTGCTTTACTGAGACTGTCCATAGCCTCAGTAAACTGGCAAAAAAGAACACTAAATGTTTTGGAAAAATAATGGTCTCAACTGCTTTTTAAAGTTGGATTTTTAAAAAGACAGGAAAGTGTAAATGAGCAAATGAAATATTCAGCTTCTGGAAACAAATCCATCTATTCAAGAAGCCTATTTTAAAGGAGGTCATAAACTGAAGGTGAAGCTAATCCTGCTGCTTCTGCTCTGGCCACCACTGAACATGGACGCAGGGCACAGAGCAATCCAGCCTAGAGACAGCCTGGAGACCCCATATTCTACGGGATTAACCCCAATCTTAGGGTTCCTTGGAGTTAGCTATGAATTAATCTCTTTTAAAATGCACTCTCTTGGGGCAAGGGATTTAGCTCAGTGGTTCTGCTGTCTGCCTCACAAGTACAAGGACCCGAGTTTGATTCCCTGGTACCAAAAAAAAAAAAAAAAAAAAAAAAAAAAAAAAAACAAAAAAAAAGCACTCTCTTACTCTTTCCTTTAATAAAGAGAATTGAGAATTTAGGGAAATAGCAGAGAGTAATGCTCTTACATTCTAGTTGTGTCACAAGCAAAGGGCCTCCTCTGATCATTTTTGAGCTAGTCTGGCTCATTATACAGTCACCCATATTGCAGGTTAATGCTGCTCAGCTGAAAAACAAATTCAATTAACATTTATAAAGTATAAAAATTATGTCTAATTTGTTGTACTGGTCAAATACCTTTGAAGGAAACCCAATCAACAAAATAATTTAGAATCATGAAGTTGCAACCTAGTTATTCAGAAGATGATAAAGCAGGATCTGTAACAATCACTGTCATCAAATTTTAACAAATGTTTGAAATTTATGTTTCTTTACACATATTCTTACAGTGGTAGCTAAACGATGAACTACTGAAACGAGCAAGTCCTATGTCTTAGGGAAGAGTAGAGTAGGAGATGGTGTGTACAACAGAACATTACATGTTGCCTAAAGAAGAGGGCATATGAGGAAAATTTGCAAAGGAAAGAAAGCTGTCAATAAAATATACATTGGGATGAAAGCAGATCACAAGGTTAAATCAGGGAATGAAGGCAGATCTCACTGAGAAGGTGAAGCCTTAGCAAAAACTTGAAGGTGGTAAAGGATGTATGTACCTGTATTACTGAAAAGTTCAGTGGTTGCTCAAAATGTTAACCAATGAAGTACTATATGACCCAGAAATCCTACTTCTAGGTAGAATTCAGAAGAACTGAAAGCAGGCATTTAAACAAAATTTTTAAACAAATATTCACAGTAGCACTTTTGCAACAGCCAAAAAAGGAGAAAACAACTTAAATG